TAATTACCAGGGTGCACCCTTTAATGACTTTCCTCCACTTTCTGAGGCTCTTCGGACAATTTTTCAGTAGCATTTTTGTCTGCTTTGCCCTCGGATGGGAGCCTCAATCTGAATCTAGGGAATTGATTCTGGGCCACACGCAATCCCACATGTTCTTGGACCGCGCAAACTCCTCTTCTCAAGAAACTGTAGGGGTACTTTTTAAGCACCTCGACCCGGCGCAAAATTTGCCTTGAAATGGAACAGTACACCCTAATAGATTGCTTATGCCCACTAAGTTACGTGACCGATAGTAGGTATCAAACATCAACAAACCACACAACAAAGTGTGTTTAAGTGTTGTTTACCAAATTGAAGCCGATTTTTTAAAAATGGTACTCAATACATCAGTAATGTACCGACTGTTGGTTTATGATAAATGTTACTTAGGACACACTTTGCTTTTATGGGAGGACGCCGTGTTCATTTCGTTGCTGTGTGGTGCCCACGGTAGGTCACGTGACTTGGCGGACGCAATCGATCTGTAGCCCCGTAAGTTATATTAAAAAAAAATTTTTTTAAGTGGACTTGCAATGCCTTTGTGTGAAATAGAAGCCAAACAGTGTCCATTTTACCTAGCCGAATACAAAACATGTGCGGGTTGGCTCGCTTCTATTGAAGCCAAGGAGAACAAACGCTGGTATTGCCGGGCAAGCTTTGTATTTGGCTCGGTAAAATGGCACTATTGGATTCAGTGATCCATATAAACTGATTAAGCATTTGAAGCGAGATATGGGACGGATAGAACCCCCGCCTTTGTGTTGGTCATTGTTTGATCGGAATCTCAGGAATGCTTTACAGACTTCTGGGGGGTGTGTGTTAGGTAACAATAGTCTACAGTATGTATAGGGATTGAAAAGGTAAGGGGGGTACCCCTCCGTCCCATATCTTGCCTGGTATATGATTAAGGGCATTGCAGATTGCAGAATCCAGATTTTTTCAATATACGTCCGTGTCTATTGCTCCGTTGACAAGAGCGATAGGGACACCTTTGTATACGGTATGGTAAGATAGCTGCCGGTGGCTCCTCTCAACAAAAGAGCAAGACCGAACCAGCCTGTTTTCAAAACCTGACATTGTACTTATCAAGCCCCCTTGAAAAAAGTGTAATATCAGCAAAGTTCGGGTTAAATATCATGCAAGCCGACATTACTGGAGTTTTTTCAAACAAAAACAACTTATTGTCTCGTCCTTCTCGATCTTTTGAATCTCTTTTAAAGTTTTGGTAAATTAACTAATTATTCACACAAATTAAACTCGCCTCCGAAAAGTAAATAGTTCCCACGCTTGCACAAAGCCATTTTTCATATGGCATCCCTCTACTTTCTCGGGCGCTTCGAACCATTTTTCGAACGCCTGCTAAGTCTCGTAGAACAAACATGGCGTCGTGCTTAAGCAAAGTGTGTTCTAAGTGTTGTTCAATAAAACAGGCCAGTTTTTGGTATACCACACAGCACATCAGTATAGTCTGAGTGCTTTACTGTAGCTTCATTTTCGGTAACACTTATGACACGCTTTGCTATGGGAGGACGCCATATTTATTGATGTTTGATACCTACTATAGGTCACGTGACGAAGTGGGCACAATTGGATTATTTCACCAACTTTGCCCTCGATAGAAGCTCCAAAAACCAAGGAATGTATCCTGGCCTATACTTACACAGTCGCACTATTTTGGCCAAACAATTTCCTTTTTCAAATGTGGGGGCATTTTTCACCATGCTAATGAGTTCGGCGGATGCAGTAATTACCACTTGAAGTGCACTACATCCATTTGAACGATAAATCAAATACCACACAAACAATTGACAACCCAGTTTGCGCTGGTCAGTTGTTGGAAGCTCATTTTGCAACCCACACATTATTGGTTCGATTCTTGTCCAAGAACAAATGTAGATTAGAGTGAGAGGAGATTTTATAGTCTGAACTGAATTTTCTTCCCAAATATTTTATATGCAAAAATGTCACTTGTTTCTTATACGCTAAAACAGACAATAATGTGCACAGTATATTATCTCATGAGAATTTTATTTTCATTTTGACTCTGGAGCTGAACTGTTTCATTTATTTTTCATATTTGATGTGCAACTTCTTTCCTGTAGGCTAAAACAGAAAACAATGTGCAAAGAATGTCATATACTGCTACCTCATGAGAATTTCATTTAAAAACGGAAACTGGAGCTGAACATTTCACTTTTAACTTTTCCACTGTGGTTGTGCTACAGTATTTTAACAAGCTCGATTTTGTCAAGAATAGAAGCCTATTGTTTGAGTGAGATAACTAAAACCATTGCCTCT